TTTTTTTAACTTCTGAAAAATTACAGTTGAATATTTAACGAAATTCACTAATGCTTCTCATGAAAATATTTTGCTTAACTTTAATGATTTCACAACAACGAAAATATTTTAAGCTCCGTGGGAGGAGTACAAAGGGAATTGCGGGCTGAAAATTTGGTTTGGCTGTCTCCGAGAGGAGATTCAAGTTGAAGACGACATTTCGGAGAGGTCTTAAAATTAATGGTTAACAATATTCTGTATTGCGCAAGCTAGAGTTATGAATATACACATTGGTGTTAAAAACGCTTTTTAGGGACTAGAAGTTACATAAAATATTAACATTTTTTACATTTTCAAAATTTACGCAACACTTCCGATCGATGAACAGCAATAAAAGGTCTGCAACACCAAAGTTAATTTATGTAGATATTTGAATATTAGTAAAGGAAATATAAATTAATTGAGTCTTTGCCACAAACTCAAATAATTTCTCATCCTTATATCTTTGCAACCTAGTAAACCTTTGAAATCTAAAAATTATATTATTTGATGTAACAGAATTCATAGTTTGACATATCTAACGTCTATAGCATTGGGTTACAAAGATATAGAGTTTGAGGCAAGAATTCAATTCCTTTAAAACCATGTTTTAACTCTCCTGTAGCGTCTAATCCATTTAGGGGTCACCGAGCCGCTTGGTGACGGCTCAGTTACATTTGCCATAATACTTATGCCATACATATATTTGCCAAAATTACACTTGCCATAAATACTTTTGCCATAAGTAACACTTGTCATATTTTACACTTGTTATAATTACTTTTGCCATAATTTAACATTACTACTCATGAGCTGTTTCTCACTTAGATTTGTTAATTGTAGTCGCAAAAGTTAATTGTAGTTGTTCAATAAAAAATGCATGGATGTTTATTACTAACTATAATTAACTATAACTATAATTAATTGTAATTTTGGTAAGTGTAACCATTATGGCAAGTAAAACTCATGGCAAGTGTTACTTGTGGCAAACGTACTATGGCAAGTGTAATTATGACAAATGTATTTATGGCAAATGTAACTGAGCCTCCATACCATCCATGTAAAATAATCGAGCGGGTAAACACTATAACCGCAACTCTTAGCTTGGTGTACGCAAAACCTAATTTTTATTTTTCGTTAGTAAGGTATTAGATGTTAGTCTCCATCGATCAGAAATATTTAAAAGATTTTGAAAATTCTAAAAATGTGAAAATTAAACTAAAGCATATAAAAGAGCGTATTTCTGTGACCTCCTGCATATACTGTAAGTAGTAAATACATGGTTTGTAAACATACTAATGTATCCAATGCTTGTAGAGAACAAATCTTATTACTCAAAAGCAAAGTATTTACCGTTGACTCATGCCAGCTAAAGGGAGACATAATACCCTATTTTTATCATTTAAACTAATTAACTAATTAACTATAACCATCTAACACTTAAAGAAGTTTCTTATTGCTATAATATCAACAACTCACTGGCTAGTTGACAAATGTTCACTCTAAAAAACTTTGGTTTATACTATAGATAGTCCATTCCAGTATGTTTTCAATACTTCTTTGATAGAGTTAGTTGCGATCAATAATTCAAAAACTTTAGAGCTTTATGTGTTTCTTGAAGTAGGTAAATATCCCTTTAAAAATACTAGTTTCTCTGAGCAAGTGTACTTGGACACAAATGTATAAAACCAAAAGAAATTAACTTTAACTCAAGGTAAATTAAAATCTGAAAGCAGTTTTTTAAATCCTCATATACTATATACAAAGGTTTGCAACTGCACTTTGTTCCCAATTAGAATTAAATGCGTTTACATATTTCTGTCAAAATTCCATTTATTCTGCAAAATTTGTTGACCAGAAATTTAAAAAGCTTTCAACAGCTTAAAACAAACAAAATGCCGAGACGAATAAAACATTAATTTAGAAATAAAGATGATCTACTTGGTGGAAAAGAAATTAAAGTTCTGATGTTCGCATATAAATATATATATTAATCCGATTATTATGAATGAAAGAGTGTCCTACTCACAGTAGATTTGATTGTTATGAATCGGCCAGTGATATGCAGTACACTGGCCGAAAATAAAAAAAGCGTTTAGTAAAAAGTGATGAAAGGTTGTCCAAATAAATATGATCGTTATGAATAAAAGTTTGTCCCAATAAGTCTGATTGTTATGAATGAAAGTTTGTCCCATTAATCTGGTTGTTATGAATAAGAGGTTGTTTTAAAAAACTGATTATTACGGATGAGAGATTGTCCCAAGGAACTATAACCAGGAATGCCCAAATCAGATATACGCATATTGTGTACTGTACACTCTGGGAGGAATGTAAACAAACCCAGTGCCCCCATAGCAGTTGAACGGAAAGGATTTAACTCTAATAAACAGAGTGGTTTTACAGTCCAACAAAACAGACTAATTGATATATCAGGTTAGTGCGGATACAACTTAATCATTTAAATATAATTTTGGCTTTCAGATCGATATGAAAAAAAAACTATAAAGGAGAAGCAATGAAAAAAGATTCCCACTTATCCTTGTTCCCGAGGTTTTACTTTCTTTTAAGATTTAAAACCTTTCTCCGTAGGTATAGTCTTTCCTCCTAATGTTCAAATCCTTCCTCCCAATGTTTACATCCTTCATCCCAAGGTTTGAACCCTTCCTCCCAAGGTTTGAACCCTTCCTCCAAATGTTTACATCTTTCCTCCCAAGTTTTTAATCCTTCCTCCTAAGGTTTAAATCCTTCCTCCCAGGGTTTAAACTCTTCCTCCTGATGTTTGTATCCTTCTTTACATCCTTCCTCCAAAGGTTTAAACCCTTCCCACCAAGGTTTGAACCCTTCCTCCCACAGTTTAATCCTTCTTCCCAAGGTTTGACCCAATAAATACTATTATTTTAAATAGTGTAAGTATAATATATTGTACCTGTAGGATTACTAGGAATACTATTGGTTAGAATATCTAGAGGAAGATGAATCTGTCGTTGATCTCTTTGCCTGCAATAGATTTAATGATTTAATGATTTAATATTTGATTTAATACAAAAACAGTTTTCTTTTCTAGTTTGAATATTTTAACCTGGAACCAATGTAGACAGGTTTCCGAGTTGTAGGTCTCACCTGAATTACGACAAAAAGTTAAAAGTGTTTGTATTAGTTTTTGTATGCTATGACAGAAACATGTAATGAAACCCAAAAAATGTGGAAAAGGAAGACAACTGGAAGACTGTCGCTATAATTTTAAATAGTCCAATGATTATTATCAACATCAAATACAAATGGATTGCTTCAATGTCATCTTCATATTTCAACATTTTATGGGTATCACTGTAGACATTGATTTCAAATTAATTATCCACAATTCTTGAATGTTACCTGATGACTCGCCAGCAAAGGCAGTTTCCTATATTCTGAATACTGACTTGCAGGAATCTTGAAATAAAGAAATTCTGAGATCAAAACTTTTTTGTTATGAATTCGTATCAAGCAGCTGTCTGAATTTTGTGCAGTCCTACGTATTAAATCAATTCCTCCCGTGGTGATCTTGCCTTGCATGCGATGCGGATAAAAAAAAAACAAGAGATCAATTATTTATTCTTCATGTAAAAGTTGTCAAATTGGTTATCAAGATCAATTGTTGTGGATTACACTATTTCACACAAGAGTTTTTGCCTCTTGTTATGTTTCCAAAATATATTCAATTTTGGCGAAGAAACTATTTATTTATCATTTGTTGTGTTGAAGACAAAAACTGAAAGCTTGAGCTCCCCAGCTGACAGAACTAGTTTTACTGGAAAAATGAAAAAGTATAAAATTTCACATTTTAAAATGTTTTCTATTGTTTACAACATTAAATTTACATTTTTATTTTTGTAGAGACAAGGAATAAAAAATATTTCAAATGTGTACAAGTTTTTTGTTCTTTGATATTTATCACAGCAAATACAATATTTTTGCCTGCACGACCAAAAACAACATTTTTGTTGTCTATAATACTGATTTGCATTAATGGATGATCAATATTATCTGGAAGGATGTGAAAATAGGACGTCCAACTATCCAAATGAATTTATCGCAACCGAAAAATATATCTTTTTATATAAGTCCGTAAGAATGTTTTATTCTATGGAGAAGATGAAACGGTAGCAGTACAAACGTCGGATGATACAAAGGTTAAACAGCACAAACATCAGACTTACAAACGTCTGGCTGGTACAAACGTCGGACCGATACAAATGTTTCAATCTATGAAATCTAAAAGATCAAACAGTTTAAATTTGAAAGAATCAAAGGTTAATACCATAACCAGGTTGCAAAGGTATAGGGATGAAAATATTTGAGTTAGTGACAAGAACTCAGCTCCTTTGGGTAGATATTATTAGACCAGTCGATATAAATCTTTTAAATCTTGAAATTCAAAATTCTCGAATATATTAATGAGTTTTGTTTCAAATTCACTCTTGATGTAATCGAACGCATCACTAAGTTTACCAGTAGGAAATAGAAGTTTTCCATGGAATTTCTGCTCTTCTTGAAATATATTTGGAATTTCAGTTTCACCAATAGTAAGTTTATTCTGCTAGGTACACCTGATCTGATGGAAAATGATCTACATTTTGCTGGTTTTAATCTCATTCCCATACTTTCAATCTTGGATTTTATTTCATTTTAAATTTTTTGATGTTTTCTCAGATCTGTTGTTATCAGGCAAAAATCGTCAGCATAAGGCAGAGTAAAAAATTTCTCTCCATTCAGATTAAATCAACCATCATTCTTACTCTGTAGAAATTCAATGATTGGATTGAAAACCATCAGAAATGTGATGGGACTAAGCTGGTCACCTTGGAATACACAGTATTTTTCATAGTATATCTATACATATCAGAAATCAATTATATATCTTCCCCCCATTCCCAGGGTTTTTAGAAAATGTAATTTAAGTAGATGGGAGAAAAATAATTTTCTCATGTAAAAATCCCGTGTTCATTTCATGAAATAAACTTAAGTTTTCACCATGTAAAAATTCGGTCCTAGACCCATGATCAAATGACATTCACCTCGACATCACTTGAATTATCACGGGATATTTACGGGTCACTCGTATTAAATACACCAAACAATCTTGTGTTCTTCATGAATTTTTTTTTGTTGGGAAGTCTCTACCCAGAAGATATTTTCAACTGGTACATGATCCTTTGGAATACATTGTGAGTTGCAAAGGTAAGCTTTACTAGACTTACAGCAAAATTGAATAAAATTATGTACGTACTTTTTTATTTAGGTATGCAGTATAGACTAATGTACAGCTATCAGGAGGGGGGGGGGGGGGAACAGTTTGAAAACAACTGCACCAGCAAAAACAGACAGAGAGAAATATGGACGAACTGCAATGTACCCCTGCAGTGAGTTTCCCATTAGTAATTTGACTCCACTAATTCTGAGCGCCATCTTAAACAGCATCTTTTCGGGCTAACGAAGACACATTCTATAAATATAAAATAAGAGTCTTGAAGACATCCGATTTCGAGACTTGAGCGCAAATCCAAGAAATCTTAAACCGTCTCAGGTTATGGCTGGGAACAATTGAAAATTTCCAAAAATCTTTATCTTCTTGGAGTTTTTGTGGATATATTAGTCATTTTAAGGACATAAACCTGGAATGGACTGCTGCCCCCCCACCCACCCCCCGAAACGCCTATGAACGGATTAAGAAGAGAGATCTTTTAAGCGCTCATGTCTGTCTGACTAACCTTAGGATTGTTGGTTAACAGATAAACAGGCTTCCTCGTGATTGGAGAAACACGGTGACTAAACACAATTCATTAAAGGGACTGCAGTCTTGATTTTAAGTGGTCGTTCATTTAAAAAGTGACATACCCGATTCACAACAGTGTCCTTTAAATCTCTATCTGAGTAACATCTTGAAAGCGTTGAATTTTGTAAATTATAAGGTTCTTTGTATGAGCAGCATAAAATCCGCAAATCAATTTAAAAAGAGAATCAACAATTATAAATAGAAAGTTTTATATGGGAAAACGAGAATAACTTCATAATTTTTGCTTACACAATTGCCATTGTTAATCGGACAGGCCCCTATTTTATTGGTGGTTCACTTGATATACTACGTCTACACCCTACAGTCCCTTTAAATCAATTCTGAGATAAAGATATTTTTCTTCATGATTTTCATTTCATTGTTTTAAAAATTTAATCTGAGGTTAGCATAAACAATTTGTGAGAAGCTGCTCATCTATAGCGCTTCTTGTACACAGAAGAGTTAGTCATACCTACTTTAACTACCTCTGTCTTGATAGAGAAAAAATGCTAATTTAAGCCAATAATTTAAAAAACTTTTTTCTTGGTGTATTCTCGTAAAGATTTATCAAACCAATTAATTAAAAATTGAATGAATTAAAACTCAAAAAAAACTCAATTTTCTGTATTTTTTACCTTTCTGGTATAGTTTGTTTCCTTGCTGTTCTTTGCCTGTTTCTACGAGATTTAACATGTTTGTCTCTTGAACCTGCAAGAACAGTTATTAAATTGAGTCAGCAGCGATAATCACCACAAACTCTAATGTTCTAATTCCTCTATCTTTACGACCTAATTGTGTAAACCTTTTATAACTTAAACTTAGAGTTTTTGAGCAACCGAATTCATAGTTTGAAATCACGAAAAAAGTTCGACATCAGATTGCAAATATTTATAGATTATTAGAGTTAGTGTCGAGTATTCCTTATAACATGACTACGATGGCCTCGTTATTTTAATTCTAATTATTGGATCTGCCCGATCCAATTATCCTTATTTATAATGATTAAAAAGCTTTATCACGCAAATTTCATTTTTTAAATGAATATTAAAATTGAATTATACAGGGTGTCCCAATAAAAATGGGAATTAAATTATTATTATTATTTCAATCTTTATTAGGTCTATGCAGTTATATAACAAGTTGTTTACAGAAATTAATCACAATTGTTTTGCATAGGGCATCATTTATATAAAATAAAAAACGTAAATAGTGGATAAAAAAATACGACACATTTTTAGCGTAACTTTAATCTAAAGAAAATTCAGCAATAAGCGACTTAGGGACAATTTCAGCAGTTTAAATAAGAGAAAAAAAATCAGAATCTGCCAGAGAATTTTCTATGTGTTTGAGGAAAGATGAAAATCATATGATTTAACGAAAAGGAAATTGATTGTACAAAAGAGACATTTTTAATAAAACATTTTATCATATATTTCCCGGAGGCATTGCTACAGAGCATTATACTTAGCCAAAATAGATCGATACATTTTCATTAAAAGACCTTTTCATGGGCTTATCGGAGGCATTGCTACCAAGAAAACCAAAAAGAGATCGATTACACAACAAAAAGACAAAAAAAAAAAAAATAATACAAGAGAAAAAAAAAAATAGAAAATAGAATATAGGGCGATTCACCAGGAAGTGCCCGTTTTGACATATTGTAAACAAGATAATGTAATTGTGTGAAGACTAGGTGCTTGAGAATTTTTGCTTTTCTGAGTTTAATGTATTGACGTAAGCGTAGCTTACTTGATTTTTGTTGGTACATAAGATAGACCAAATTTAAGGTCAAAACAAAAATCTACTATTTAGAGTATTTAGGATCTTATAGTTCAAACATGGGAATTAATTGACTACTTCTATATCGTCTTTGTTCCAAGTGGAATTATTTCGTAAAAACCCCTACACAGAAAACTACTACTCTCGGGATTTCCAAAATGTGGTAAAGCATTTTTCACCTACAAAATTGACGGATATATCAAGAAATTTGTCTAGGTATCAGTTGATTAAAATTTAAAAATATGCAAAACTTCTTAAATGTTTAATATCTCCGTAAATTATAAAGTTACAAAGAAGGCAGACACCATTTTGGAAAGCTCATTAGACGTTGAATCTTTTTTGATGTACTTTATGTCATTTATCAATCATCAGAAATCAAAGACAATATTCAAGTCGTCTCTCAATTCACATGTTTATTGGGACACCCTGTACTTGTAGTTCTCTAGGACTACTTTTCAAAAAGATGTCTTTTTTTCAAACTTTCATTGATCAGATTATTGTTAAAGTTTAACATTTATAAACCTTTCGCATGTGCGCCTCCTGGGGCTTGGACAATAATCTGCCTAGGATATCGACTAAGCTCCTAAATATAAGAATATGTTATAATTTAATGAAGTATTTGACATGTATATTACATAAATGTATTGTATGTAATATTGAGCTATGTTAGATTTGTCTATTTTCTTTCTTATTTACGGTGAATTATCTAAATAAACAGTTAAGCCTTGAATAATATTTGTCTCGTCTCCAGGAATTACAGAACCAAAATAAAACCTTACAATACATAAGAAAAAGTTTGCTTCATCCAATGCAAAAAATCATAAAGTTTTACGTACTAACAAAGCTCCTGTGAATGGGGGGGGGGGGCTACGGGGAGGTTTACAAGAATCAATTGTTCATTTATAAAACGTTTTGAAACCACTGCCCCTTTCAGAAGCACTCTGTAATGTTTCCAGGTGCCCAACTAGCGGGGGGTATGTGGGGCAAGGCCCCCTATCCTGATTAAGGGGGGCATGAACCCCTTAAGAAATATTTCCCCCCTGTAGGGGGGGGGGGCCAAGAAGTCCCTAACAGGAATCCATATAGTTAAAAAAAAAGCTAATTTTCTCGAAAATCTGAAGAAAAAAATTCACACAGGGTAATTTTTTATTAAACACACTCAAATTCAACTACAATTTAAGCAAACTCAAATTCAACTATAAAATTATTCAATGTAAGCTGAGATTCTTTTTATTTTCCCCCATTTTTTAAAAAAATGCCTCCAAATTTAGATTTTTTAAATTGCACTCACTCATTCAAACTAAAATTGCCCCACCAGACTTAAATTTGCCCCTTTATTCAACCTGTATAACCATTGTTTTTTGAATGCCACCAAATATTTTTAATTTGCATAGCTAAGTTTAATTTTTTTATCCCCCAAATGTTTTAGAAATACAACCAACTTCAGAATTTACTGCCATATCTAAAAAAAACTTAGGTGGATTCCCCTTGTTTTTTTTGAATAACTATTTAATGCATTAAAAAAGGCGACATTATGAAATGTCAACAGGGTAAATATATACTTTTCTGGAGAAGACGACATATCTTTTGGTACCCGAAAAAATTTGCGTCGATTTTCTTATGCGCAATCTTTAATTAGCAAAGTCTTTGCCTAAATATAGACAGTTCAACACAGAATCTTATTATTTACTGATCCTATATACCTGGATAGGTAGAGACAAATTAAAACAGTGCATTTAGGCTGATAAAGAGAAGTTAAGGCATCTTCTACATATATTTTAAAAATGCCCTTAAATAAAAATATTCGACCCAAAAATAAAGATTTAAGATTTCCTATACACAAAATTCACTAAAATGAAAAAAGCCACCCAAAAATAAAATTTGACCTAAAACAAAGATTTGAGATTTCCCCAAACAAAAAAATTCTCCCCAAAAATATTTTCCCCAGGAGTATAGTTTAAGATTTTTTCCACACTTTGCCCCAAATTGAATGATTGCCCCCAAAAATGTTCCCTCAAAATATCCTGAATTGGTAAGGTAGTTTTTTCATGGTTGAGTATAATACATGCTTCCCCCCCTAGAAATGTTTAGGGGGGTCAAAAAAATAATTCCCCTTTGCTCCCCCGTCCCCCCCCCCTAGCTTAATGTCTAGTTGCGCGCCTGAATGTTTTGAATGAAATTTTGTTTTGCACAACCTTTAAACCTTGGAGTGATATTTAAATTTGAACTAGTGAAGTGATCTTGGTAAAGCCACTGTAGACGTAATTATACGTATACTATACATAGTACGTACATATTTAAACCAGTTCTCTCTGTGAGGAATTTGAACTATATACAGAGGGATACATTATGATATTTGTATAGTCCTTGAATTTGAACTTTATACAGAGGAATACATTATGATATATGTATAGTCCTTGAATTTGAACTATATACAGAGGGATACATTATGATATATGTATAGTCCTTGAATTTGAACTATATACAACTTTATCTAAAAGGAGGGTCAGGTTATCCATGTATTTCTAGCTGAAAATTGATTATTTTCGATTATTATTTTTTTGTAAAAGTAACCTTAAATGAACACGTTTGAAGAAAGAAACACAACGAAATTATTACCCAGATTAAGGTTTATATTTAGCTGTTCTCAGTCGGACATGCCACTCAACAAATATACAGGTTCACTTGAAATAACGTCTACAGTCACTTCAAGAAATATCAGAATTACTTTCTTAAAATACCTCTCGTATTAACGGTGTCCATGAGTCACTGAATGACAGGATTGATGGAGGTGGAGGTGCAGAGAGGAAATCTAGATCAGAAACAATGTAGGATCTACTATACATCTGCACCTATATATATGTATATAAGCTGTTACGTAACATACAATAAGCAATCTTAAAATTCACAGATTTATGAAAATGTCAAATAGTCTGATATCCCAGCCTTCAGCACTAAACAAAGAATGTATGTTATGAGTGACTTTGATTTTAAAAAAATTCATGAACTTAATTCTGTCATCAAATAAAACATTATAAATTCCATGAACTTAATTCTGTCATCAAATAAAACATTATAAATTTCATGAACTTAATTCTGTCATCAAATAAAACATTATAAATTTCATGAACTTAATTCTGAAAACTTTTCCTAAAAAATAAGACTAGAATTAAAAATTGCAAATGTTCTTCTTTATAATTTTGCGAATTTTCTGTGATTCTGTTATTCAATCTTTATAAAATTTTAGATTTTGATACGGTGATAACCGAAAAATTCTGGAATTTCAACTTATGACTTTAAAAAGTCTTATGAACATGAGCCAAAGCAATTGTGCATTGGAAACAGACCAGTTTCACTTAAAGAGTGATTTAATGACTTACTAGTGAGGCTTTTTGTCTTGTAAATAAATACATCAAATTCACTTCAAAATTACTATAATGTCGAATTGATATTCCACAGTTTTCTGGTTATCACTGTAGAAATAATTTATATACACATTTTTGTCTTTCTGAACTGATTTTGAGAGAAAAAAAAGGTTCGCGGATTTTTTTGGAGTCATTGGAATACCAAAATATTGTATCAACTCAGAAAAAAATCATACAAATTCTTTATCAAATATTTGTTATTTTTTTATGTTCAGAGTCTCCACCATGCACTGGCGCCATTAAACTTTGTTTTCCCGATAAATTTAGAATTCAATTCTCAGAAATGGCTAACTGTAAATTTCCATGGACACCCAACCATAACTTTGATATTAATAGACACTAAATTATCAAAATTCTTCATTTTATACTTTTTTATAGTTGGTGCTGCTTAGTGCATTGTATAAGTTCATGAGAAGCATAAGTATAAACATTTAGCCGGAAGACAAACCGGGTGCGGGTCGGAAGCCAGTTTGATCGAGTAAGCATAATACCGCAAATCCATCTTATGATAATCTTTGTGGGTCGGAGCAAAAATGGTTGCGGGTGGTCCTCCCCCCTGTTTTGAAAAATGGCATAAACTTAAATATTGTAATCCTTATATCTTTGCTACCTAAAAAAAGTCACGGGGCACGAAAATCTATTTTCCCCAAAGAGTGAATTCTTATTTTCAGCCAATATTACAATTTATATCATATCCATATTTTTATAATATTTTTTTTGTCCTCTTTAATGCTTTAATGCTTACCGGAACAGGGTTAGAACAAAATTGTTGAAATAAAACTGAACACTTTCCGGTCACATTTCCTAGAAAAGGAAACAAATTTAATTAAAAAGTGAAAACAAGTACTAAAATTACTAAAATTCACCCCATTTGATTCAGCCGTTTGGGCAGCCATAGGAAACATATAAATGAACGAAGAGCTTTATGACATAGATTACAATTGTACTCCTACTTTTTTACAAAACAGAAACTTTTACAAACAGCAATATTACTTTCAAAAATGAAACATAAGGTGAAATTTATGTCTGCTAGAAACCAACTTTTCAATATTTTACTTTTTTGAATTGAACAGTCTAAACAATTTTAAAACTTTTTAAGAATGTAAGATTAAAATTTAATTTCAAAATATAACCTGACTGAAAAATGAGTAGATAGCTGAAAGCAATACCGGAAGTTGAAGCTCTAATCATTTTTTGGTAGGGCTTTATTTCTTAACTTGAAGTAAAGTAGCTTTATTATTTATTATTTATGAGTAATTATAATTTCATAACCTCCGTTGATACCAAGAATTACTTAATTACGAGCTTTATAAATAAACATTTGCTCTAAAAATAATTCAAAGAATTGTATGGTAGAAGTTAAACATTTTGATATGCAGCTCTTTAACATATAAGATAAAAATTAATTTAATAAAAAACTTTAATTCACAAGCACTTATTAGTTAATGTTCAGAGTTGGTTCAACTTTAAAATTAACAAATCAATTTTAATCGATTCAAGTTTGTTGAGCTAATTCTTGTTAAAGGATAATATTGCCAAAGGAATTGAGTCTTTGCCACATACTCTGATTACTAATTACTATATCTTTGGAACCAAATGTTGGAGACCCTAGATATTTCAAACTATGAATTCCGTTCGATCAAATATTCTCAGCTTGTAATATCAAAGGTTTACAACATCAGGTTTCAGCGATATAGGGGTTTGAATATTTGAGTTTGTGGCAAAAACTCAATTCCTTTTATATTTATTTTTCCCCATTCGTGCGTACAAATCTGTACTTCCTTGTTTTCTTTTCACAGCACATAAGCACAGTTTATATACTGTATATCCTGTTCAACGGTTAAACACAAACTGACGAAAGCTAGTCTACCGTAACACTTTAAATACCTTTTATGTTCTTTAAATTTATAAGTTTTCAATGATTCAACAAATATTATAAACCACCAAATATCGACTTCTGTTTTCAATGTAATGCAATATGCTTTTTAAAATTATAGATATATTCATAAATATTGTTAATTGTGCATCAATTTTAAGAGGTCTTCCTAAAAATAATTCTATATGAAAAAAGTTATCCACTCATCTCTCTCTCTCTCATTATTTTGAAAGTCTAATTTTGAGGAGAAATTCGTTAAATTCACGAATTTCCTTTTTTACTGGCAAAAGCACCAGGTTTTTTTTAGGGTCAGTTAGGCACATCTTAGAGCGGCACGGTTTCCTTAATTGTGTATTTAATTAAACAGAATTAGTAACTATGCCATGCGTATTTTTCAGATAAACAATCCTTTTAACACAAGTTTCAAAATTCAAGAATATTGCAGAACTTTTTTCAAGGATCGTCTTCTACATTTAAATATTGCCATGGAAACCTAGAGCTAGAGGAAACCGACCTACAGGATCACCTGAATTAATCGTCGTTTAGTTCTCTTGAAAATGTGTCAAATCAAATCAAATCATTAATTTAATAAATACAAGTAAGATATATAACATGTAAAAAAAAGATAAGATCCGCAGCCGGGCCCCCCTGGTTAACTGATTTTTTAAGTTGATAAAATACATGTAAAAAGAATGGGAGGAGAGAATTATAACAAGGGCAGTGCTGACTGCTGATACAGAGACGGAGGGCAGAGAAGGAATCATGGAAACATGGGAAATATTTTCTTTTGCAAAATTTAATAACAAACAGGGCTCAAAAGAACAACACAACAATACAAGGGCAAAGGGAAGACTGACAATCTATCACTGGGGCCCAACCCATTCTGGGAGGGTTAATGCCTTCTCCGTTAATTTAACAATATCCCTTGCCTATAATCCTTGAATATAAAACACTAAACAAATTCAGAATACGAGTAACTTCATGATCTCAATTTTTATATTAGCTCAAGGGGATAGGGGAAGGGTGACAATTAACCACTGGGGCCCAACCCATAGATTAGTATTTAATCGCAGTATGATATGTATGGCATACGTATAACTCTTTTCAGGTTATAGATCCGTCTAATAACCCTAGACCTACTTCACTAACATGTCTTAACTCGGCCTAACTAAAATTCAAGGAATCTAAAACTTAAAGATATTCATAACCAATATAAGAGTCGTTTAGTAAGTAAAAAAAGTTTTTGCTATAAATAACTATCATTGGCACAACTCACACATTTAATTTAGGGTTCCCGGCATATCTTCCATGGTTTCCTGTTTGTACTCTAGGTCAGACCGGAGAGCACCTTTGAGATCTTATTCTTTGGATACTAACATAAGATCAAGAAGTCTAGAGCAAGAACTTATGGCTGTACATGAAGAGGGGCGCGCAGATTTCTGAATTCGGCCACAACGCTCAGGCAACGAACATTATTTTCCCGCAAGGGGGGGTATTATTAGCAATTGAAGCAGGGAGGGAGGAAGTGTAACATGAACCTAACTAAATGATAAAATTTGAAAGCAGGACACGGTTCCAGGATTACACAACAAACTTGAACGTTTTATGGCTTTTTCACACTTGGAATATTGGCAGTTTAAAATAAAAGATTAAAGGGAGTGATCACGAATGCTTAAATGGATAAGAGGGACATTGCCTGTACTTTAAAAGGGGGGCGTGTTTAATCCGTTTCTAACTCATTTTCCTCTCTTGAAATTAAAAAAACACCAACAAAAATTGTGTTTCCCTTTGAATCCCACACATTACACAATCCCATACCCCCCAGAAAAAAATCTGTTATCGCCTGTGTTGAGAAAAAAAACGTACAGCCTAAAAGGCTGGGGGGGGGGGGGTTAATATATTTATAGCCCCCACACTCAACTCAATAGATGAAAAACAAATGAGATGAGGCCCGTCCGGAGTAAAAGCTGAATATATACTAAACTTCAAAGGGAGTGTTCGCGAAAAATAAAAGGGGGTATAGGCTTAATACGATAAAAAGGCGCTTTTTGATGGATACTAATCTTACTTCTATCTGTTGCGTCTATGAGGAGAAAATTGGTAAAGACGTCTCATACTGAAGAACGTAGCACCCATACAAATTGAGGAAATTGCAACATACGACATAGAGCGTAAAAAAATCAATTTAATTTCAAACAAATCATTTAGATATTACAACCTATAGTCATCGATTATCTTTTGCCTCATTTGTATATAGTTTATATTTTATATTTTATAATGTTTGGATGATAAACTCCTTTGTTTAGATGATAAATCAGTGATTTAGGTGATAAGTTCCAAGGTGTAGATGATATACTTCTAATTTTTGATGATACATCCTTGATTCGGTTGATTAACTCCAAGGTTTGAATAAAAATCTCCATGGGTTAGATGATAAACTAGAGTTTATCTCATGAATAAAAGAGTTTTCCATGTAAACCCTAGGAGTTTTTCTTCTAAACATAGGGTTTTTCATTTAAATCATTGAGTCTATCCCCTGAACCATAGTCTTTTCATTTGAACCTTGAAGTTTATCACTTGAACTTTGGAGTTTCGCAGATAAACCTTGGAGTTTGTCATCTGAACCTTAAAGTTCATCTGAACCTTAAAGTTATCATTTGAATTATGGCGTTTTTCATTTAAACCCTTTAATTTTACCTTAAACCTTGGAGTTTTTCAGATAAACCTTAGAGTTTTGCAGATTCACCTCATGGAGTTTGTCATATGAATGACTTTTTTAATTGAACAATGAACAATTTCATTTAAAACATTATCAATATTGCTCGTAGTGAAGAAACCCGGTTTTGAAACTTCCATGCAGAAACGAGGAGGTCCTGGAAAAGAAGTAGGGCGTTCTCAAGACTACACAAATCACCCAATTTTCAAAAAAGTATTAGATTTCACTAAATATTCTGTAACATGAGAAATATCCATTAAAATCTTGAGAGGTCTTGTGTCAAGACTCCTTGCCCTAACCCCAATTTTCTCTGTTGGAGGTCTTGAGGAGGTCTTCTTACAAGACCTCTTAAGACTAACTCCAGTTTTATATCATATTTCATCAACACGTGTTATGTCCCATCATTCCGATATTACAACCAATAGTCATCGATTATTTTTCGACGCATTCATAAATAGTTGAATAGTTGATATCTAATAATATTTTGCATTTTTCATGATCTGAGAGTTACTTTTGAAAACATGTATTCCTGTTTCGAGGATTTTTGATGATGAAGACGACATTTTCATATTTTTCAGGAATGTTCGAAAATCCAGCGCCAGAGAATATTATTGAAAAAAAACAAAATCAAAAATATTATCAAATATCAAATTTTTACAAATGCGTCGAAAAATAATCGATGACTATTGTTTCTAATGAATGATTTGTTTGGAATTAAATTGAATTGTTTTCGATCCGAGTTGAATGTTTGATCTTTCTGAATTTGTATGGACAGTACATTCTTCGGTATTAGTCGTTTTTAACAATTTTCTCTTTATAGACGCAACAGATAGAAGTTAGATTAGTAGCGATCAAAAGCACTTTTTTATCGCAATAAGCCTATACCCGCTTTCATTTTTCGCGAACACTCCCTTTAACTTAAATATAGATTAACGTAAATTAAGATTTTAGAAGTGAATTTTAGCCATTTTACTGCACAATAAATAATTTTAGACAGCACAATAATGCCTGCATGCAAAATCTGTTATACAAGGAAAGCAGAATTTGTGATAATAGAGGCGTATTCAGGTTTTTTTCCCAAGAAGGGCTTACATATTTCTTTTTCTCTTTAAACAAACAAAACAAACCAAAACTAAGCAGTTTTAAAGATAAATTCTTATAGAATTAGAAGTGCAAGCCTGCCAGGCAAAATCACTAAAGTTATTATGGGACTATATAGTATATGCATATACAACACATACAAACTTACGAAAAAATTTTATTTTTAATTATGAAAATTTTGAAGTTCTAGCTGAAGACGATATTTAAATGGGTCCTTAATTTTTTTTTTTCTAGTCTTTACTTTCCAAAAGAAATCTTTTCATGCAATTATTTACAAACCAAATTTTTTGTTCAGGGCTTTTTTCCAATCTGCTACATAGTTCCTGACTATTTCTAAAAAGAGGCTAAAAACAACAGTGCGAAAAACATTTGATATTTAAAAAAAATAGAATTAAAGATTGGGAAAATTTAGGTTGTGTATTAAAGTTTCTTCAGTTCCTTTAATTGTCAACCCTATGTCAGTGAGGGAGGGGGTGGAGAGGCGCCATGAGCCCTGCAAAAATGTTCTACAAGCCTCCAGATTTGCAGAA